GACCCAAGAATTGAACTCACAATTGTCAGTGAACCAATCCATTCTTGGACAACGCAGTGATGTAATTTTGGAGTTTTAAACCTAATGTTTTTATTCAAGAGTCTTTTCTTTCTTAATCAGAGGCTCCCAGATATGCTAAATCTATTGAACAGGTTGTCATTACTTAACATGTGTGATGTTTCTTTTGGACATTTTATCCTTGAGTGTTCTGTCTATTATCTTGAATTCATTCAGAAGAGATTGATGACAGTCTTTTTCTATTCATACATGCTTGATTTTAATGTATTTCCCTACTTTTTGATGTTCCTCTACTTTTGGTGGGCAGCTGGTCTTGCCCTTGTATTCCTTACCAAAAATGAAGTGTTTTATTTATTGTTTGTTCATCTGTGTGTTTACTCCATTTATAATCTTTCACTATTGGTAAGAAGTAAGAATTTTTTTCTCATATTAAGGAATTAATTTAAAATAAATATAGAGGCTAAAATGTATAGATTTTTTCTTTTTTAATCATTTCACCCTAAGCAAGGAAAAAACAACAATAAGATGCAAGGGGTTACTGAGTGTTAGAGAATATGAGAAAAATAAAATAACACTTAAGGAGAGAGAAAAATAAAAGGACTGGAATTAAGAAGCCAGAAGATAACAATTGATATTGCATTTAAATTTTTGAAGATCAAAGTTGATTGTAAAGCAAGAAGCTAGAAGAGAGTTCCACAGGTGAGGAATGCGATAGAAAAAACTGTTAGCATAAAACTTACAGTTACATCTAGCCAATTCAACTGCAAAACCTTGCCGCCAATCTAGCATGGCACTTAAATTCATAAAGTCTACATAGAGGAAAGTTCATCAGAATAATTACCATGAAGGTAATTATAGAAGAAACACAGGGAAATTGTTTTGGCAGTGGGAAAGTAACTGAGATGCTAGGTCATGACCGATAACATTTCATTCTTTGGATTTTATGAAGGATTGCTTAAATATATCACAGGAGCATCAGACCAGATGTGGCACCAATATTCAAGGTTCTTATTTTGACTGACTTAAACACTGTTTAAATTGATTAATTCCTGAATAAATGTTGATTCTAAAATTGGACATTATTTTCTGAACAACCAAGTAAAAAGACAGGGTTTATAATGCTGATTTCCAAGGCAAATGGGTTGACGCCACCTGAAGGTTTGATAGAATACATTTTTCTTCCTTGTTCATATTCCTCCATTTGACCTTTAATTATATTAAGTTAACTTATGGATTATCCCACTTGACTAAAAAAAAACATCTCAAGTGGATGGAGGTACTCCTTAAGCCTATAAAAAGGTGTGTATTTCTCTGCCTACTCTCTTTTACAGCTTTTTAACTCTGGCCTAGATGTAGTTTATACATGGTTTAAGTGTCCCCCACTACAGCACATTCAGTTTCATGATTTTCTCTTGACTTTTTCTATTCTCTCACATGCTTGTTACTAACACACACCTTCTTATAGCTAGTTTTTTTTCTTTTGTCACATGTAATTCCTTTTGTAAATACATGCATTATCATTTGTCTTATATTGTTTTGTGTTACTCATTTTTACCAGAGTCTGCCAATATTATTTTATGGATAAATTTTCCAGGACAAGGTAGATATTTACTATCCAGTGTTGATTACCACAACATAATGATGACTAAATATTTACCCAAAACATACAAGCATCCTGCAAAAAGCTTAACAAATTGCAAAATGAGGACTGTATTGCCTGATTTTCATTGTAAGGAGAATTCTTGGTTCCTCAGGAAATATTTTATATAATTTGTTAATGATTTACATATGCCAACCAAAGCAGGGCATCACAAAATGAAAATTGTGTGGAGGGGGTGGGGGGGATAAATCAGATATTAAGTTTTAAAGAATTATCCAAATGTAAAAGAACAAAAATAATATAAATTCAAACGTTCATAACATTAATTTAAAAAAATGATTCAATACAAGAGTAGAGTAATAAATATTTATTATAAACTGTTACATTGGAACATGCAAGTTACCACAACAAAAATGCATTGTTAGCTGCCTGAGGAGACATTGAAACAAATATGCATTTTGTCACGGTAACTTTCATGTTCCAATGTAACAGTTTATAATAAATATATATATATATAATGGTGTGGCAGAAATACCTATTGTCTTATTATGTGGGAAACATTTTTCTCACTGTAGTGTAAACAATTTTGTTTTGATTTTCAATACATTTTTTTTCTTTTTGAATGCACTTTCATTAATTAGACCTTTTCAACTTTTAGAAGTTTTATAAGCTAATGATGTTTTGAAAAAAAAATAGTTTTATGATTATTTTGAAAATTAATGTCAGTAATGATTTTAATTAAACAAATGATACATCTCAGCAGCTCAATAGAATTGTCATAGATGTGAGGACGAAGTTAGTCTTCAGTTTCACTTTTCAGCAAACCCCTTCAAAAAGTGAGCTGAGTTGAAGTCTCCACAATGATTCCGTCGATGGAAATAAAGTTAAAAAAAAAAAAAAAGAAAAGAAAATATTAATGACATCAGTTCACCTTATAAGATTCAGATAGAATAGTGCATATTGCATCTATTTTTCAATGAAAAATATTAGTGGAACCTGAATTTAATCATTAAAATTTGTTTAACTGCAGAAATTAAATTGCACCGAGTGACCCGCTGCGTACGAATGTAATGTAGCACAATATTGACGATTTCAATATAAAATTTATTAAAAATTTATTCATGGCCCAAATAAAATATTTGGATTTATTTAGTGTTTATGAATAATATTATCGAATAATATACAAATTTATTTTTAAATAGTAATAGTAAGTCTTTTCTGAGGTGAACAATATCATATTCAACATTTTTTTTCCAATATGCCCACATCGCTACCGAATTTGACGAGGTTTAAAAAGGATTTTTACGGGAATACCATATAAAAATTGCTGAAGGACCCCTCGGCACTTTCCTTTGTCTCAGGTGCAGGACAATAAATCCAGACCCTCCCTTTCGGGGCTTGGGTGTAATATTTTTTTAATTAAACGTTCCCAAAGCCAAGGAAACAAATTGATCATTTTTTTTTTTTTGCTAATGCATATTTTTGAAATGTATGCAAAAATAAATACAAATGAGAAATTCGAAAGAGTCTTTCATACAATTAACATGAATATAGAAATTATATATATAATATAAAATATCCCATCACAGAAGCGTATTTTCGCCATTTTATGCAAAAAAGGAAATATTTTTTTTGTGGAAGAAATCAGAAATCTAAATAAAGGGAAAGTAAATGAACAAAAAAATTGGATGAAAATTTCAAGTAAGGATTATTAAATTTGATTTTAAATTCTATTTCAACAAAAAGGTCTTAAAAAAAAAAAAATGAAATTTTTTCATTTTCTTTTATTTAAGTTCATAGTTTCTTCTATTTTCTTAATTTTAAAGTTAAGAATTAAAAACAAAAAACAAAGTTTGGACGAAAATTCATTATTTGACTGAATGTTTGAGAAATTTTTTTTTTCATTTATCCCCCCCCCCGATTAAAAGTTTATTTAAAATATTTTTTAATTAACGTAACTTTCACCATAAATTGTATCAAAATCTCAAATTCAATATCATTTTATTTTGGGGGTTTACAGTCGAGTTTAGCATTTCAAACACTGATTTATCTCCCTTACATTGGATATTACCTTCTTGAACGAGACTCATATTACGAGTCTCGCGTTTTGGTATAAAAAAAAAAAAATAATTTCGGCTTTATATGTATCTCCATTAATTCTGTATATGTAAGGTTTTATTGTCCCTAATTTCTCACTAAATCTGAGAGAATTCATTCCCACAATAATTCGCCATGTTAGGCACTCACTCACAACAGATCATTTTACAGTCCTTCACAATCCTTTCCTTGTTCTTCTGCTAAATAGACTCTCCATTGGTGCAAATTACAGTACAACTCCAAAAGCTTAACTTGCTGCCATTCCTTCTCCAGTAGCGAAAATGTAGAATGATTGACGGGAGCTCTGTCTTGTCAAGTAGCATTTCATTTTCGAAATGATTTTGTTCAAACTAGCACCAACACTTTCGCCAGTAGATAGTGAGCCCACTTTGGCTAATGTTGATGGAGTCCGTAATATGCTGCTTGTAAATCCACGGCAGACCCCACCAGGAAGACGTTTCAACGACACAAGATGAGAAGATGTTAGGGTGGTCAACACAACACAGTTCACGTGATGTCCATTTTGTGTCGTTGAATCGAAAACTAAATTGCAGTTTTCTGAGCTTTCCACTGCATGGAACGTCTTCATATTTGAGAGGAAGCCAAGATCCCCCACCATTCTATACTGTAGTTAAGCTTTTTGGTACAATCTCATCTTACAGTGACAATGTCTTCAAAATATTGGTCACAGTTTCTGAAATCCTTGAAGAAGGAACTCCAAATGCAGTCATAATATAATTTTCTGCTTAACAATTGATTGGAATGTTCTGGGTTTTTTTTTTCAGTACTTTTATTATTTTTTTTTTAAGTAATATTATTTTTTCATTTTTTTGTTGTAGTTGTTTTTTCAAAATTTTTATTTTTGAACTTTTGTCACTGGAAGATGAAGACTGGGAAGAAGTTTTATGCAGACTGTAAGTTGCACCCAATTCTGAATCAGAAGAGAGTCGTTGACATGCAGCAGACAGGGTTGCAGCAGAAATGGTTGTGCATGAAGAGAGACTCAGATTTGTTGCATATAATTTTGTGGTAGCATCAAATAGGGTTGCATCTGAAGTAGAGATGTACTTGCAACTGGAGTGGCGGTTGAAGAGGCAGTAGAAGATGGGACACACCGAGTCACAACTTTTCTACATTTTTAGAGGAATTCAGAAAAGTTTGATCCTTTATTTCTATTCTAAAATCCCCAAAGTCTTTTACTGAATTAGTTGTGATTAGTGGAAAACCATTCTTGGCATTTTCCAACGTGGCCCATTCTGTTACTTTTCTGGAGTGTGTTCCATACTTTTGGAAAAATTTATCAAAAATATAGCCGCAGAGAATGGATTGTCCACGTTGGATGCTGCTATAAGGTCTCAAGATCTTTTCTGTTCTCTCCATCTATAATTAAAAAAATATATAAAAATAACGTAATTAAGCAAAAAAATGAACGACTTGATTTAGAAATTTTTTTTTGATAAATAAAATATTTATTCAGTAATAGTTAATAAACTGTAATTAACATTGACTAAATTAAAAAATATGCAGGAAATAAAGTTTTAAAATAACTTAAATTAATTAAACATTGTTTTCAAAATTAATAACGTATTTCTTTAACTGTCATTAAAAATGAAGTGAAAAAATTACAAATATAAATATTTGTTCCTTCTTAAAGTTTAAAAAAAAATTATTCTATTTGAGTATGACTCACACTAATGGAAATACAATACATAAAATAAAAACATTTAGTGAACTAGTAAATGAAAAAAGAAAACTTACTTTAAGATTTAAAGTTTAAATTTTATACTTTTAAAGCTGAATGGAAAATACAACTTGTTAGAAAGCAACTAAAGGAAATGTTATGAAAAGGCCGCGTAAAGGGACAAAACTCTTAGATCACGTGACCTTTTTATAATAATGGCAATTTCAGTCTACCATACATGGAAATAAGGAATGTATTAAGTAAAAAATACAATATAAAAAATTATTTTAAAAAATATTAGCGCAACTAAGTTTATTAAACTTAGCAATTTTGGATTCGTAAATTTTGTTTCCACTTAATTACTACATCACCTCGAGGAACTAGCCTAATGCAGGCTTTACACGATTTTAAATTAAACTATTATAAATTATTTTTTTTAAAAATATATTTTTTACCAAAATTTAAAAAAAAAATATTTAAAAAATTTTAATGAAATTTTCAGGATTTATTCACAAATAAGCCCTGAAAATTTCATTAAAATCGGACAGTTACTTGACTTTTACAAGAATTTCCAAATCAATATGTTTTCAACGGAAAAAAAAAAATCGCCCCCCCCCAATGTTATTTTCTATGTCGCCGCGAAAACGTAAACAAAAGAAAACTTTAACCAAAATTTCGAACGTGTTAGAAACTATTAAAAAATACTTTGGTCTTTCATCTTAATAAAGCATTTTGACGATAAAACTTTATTTTCGCTAAGTTTCTGGCATTTTTCATTACGCTAAGCTGTTTTCCCGCTAAAACAGTGGAGGAGTCTAGTTTATGAATTTTTAAAAAGGAAAAAAGCTTTCTTGAAGCTTTGATTTTAGTTTTAATTGAAAGCTAAAGGATTTAAAATTTACTATTTCCAGTAAGCAAAATATTCTGCGGTGTATTTTAAACAGAAATTAAACTGATCGGAATCAATTTCTTTTTCTTCATTAAAATCGATCAAAACGGCCATTTTTGACACCTTTGTAAACAAAAGTTAATTCTCGGTTTTAAAATTTTTTCAAAAATAAAATCTATTTTCTGAAACATTATTTGAGGAAAATTAGCAATTTAAAGTTAATCTGATTAGAACAAATATTACTTACATTTTATCCTGTAGGATAAAATGTTGTATACAAACATTTCGTAACTACGGGGTCTTGTTTTTTTGACGTGTTAATCAATTTATTTATATTCGATTGACAGCCAAACGTGCTCATAGTTAAGTATGGTAGACCAGACGATAAAGTTTTTTTTCTTGTCGTAGGGGGGGCAACCCTTAAATGCTAGATTTATTGATTTGTCCATCCATACTTCAGAAATTCTGCACGTAATCACACATACAAAAATAAATCGAAATACTTTTAAAAATATTCGGGGTCGTCAGATTGTAATAAGCTTTATAATATATAATTAGTAAATATAGTTTAATAACAATATTTCCTAAGACTGATCACATTGAAAATGAATTTTAAAAGATTTAAAAACTATAAATTATTCAATTTAAAAAAATGAAAACAAATCTTGTAAAAATTCATTTTTCGTTGAAATTTTTCTTCATACAATATTGTCTTTAATATATAATATTAATAAAAGCAATTAAAAGCTTTTCTAATTAAATAATGTCTTAGTTTTATTGCATTTTTTATTTTTCGATTCAGAACAGATTTTCGAAGAGTTTGCAAAATAAATAAATAAAATTGGTAATTTAAATTTTTTAAAGAATTCTGCTTTTAACTAACAGTCACTAAAGAGTATGATGTTGAATTTCTCAAGTTTTCATAAAATCAAGTGGCTGAAACATGTAAAATACAAAATATTTTTACCAAGATCTAATTTTTTTTTTAAATAATTTCATTCATTTGTGAATAAGTCATGAAAATTTCATTAAAATTCGACAATTTGATTTTTCGCAAGAATTTCCAAATTAATGTGTCTGTCACCACAAAAAAGAGGCGAAAATTTGCTATGACCCAAGAAAAACAATTTTTTTAAAAATAAAAATTTCGAATGCATAAAAAATACTTTAATCAATCCTTCCTCTTAGTCTTAACTAGGAAACTGTTTTCATTACGGTACGCTGATTTTTTTTTTTTTTTTGGCATTTTCTTGGAGGTATCTATGAAGAGAGTTTAAATGGAAGGGTAATGGGGGGGGGAAACAGTATGGCAAAGTGGAAAAAGTTTTCTTGTGACACGTTTCGTCCATTAGGATTTCATCGAATAGAAGGATGAAAAGAGTTACAAGAAAACATACATTTTCCCCCCAATATTGTTCTTGAAAATAAAAACGTCAACAAATGTCAATGAGGTAAATGATAAATCAGTGTTTTTGACTGTTTGTTTTGTTTATGATATCGAAATATAGTTTGAAGCGCTAAAAACTTAATACCCCGAAAGATGGTTTTCTTTTTTCATTGAAAAAAAAAAAAAAAAACAAAAAAAGCAAGTCTTAAGGCAAAGGTTTTTTGGTAAAGATTCGATTACTAAAATAATTTTCTTTGATTTTTTTTTCTTTTTTATATTCACTCATTCATTTTATTTTTTTGGTGTTATGAAAAAAAAAAAAATAAAATTGAACTCTCTCTATTGATGACATCGAATGTTTCCAGAAACTCAAATCTGGGCCCTGATTTTGTTTATACTTTTCAAAGCTATTTTCCGAATTCATGATTATAAACATTTTTTTTTCTTTTTAGGCTTCTGTTTTTTAAAGTACCGAAGCCTAAAATAAAAAAAAGTTTGTAATCATGAATTAGAAAGGTTGGGTTTATCTTGACATTACAAAAGAGAGAGAAGGAACTTTGTCTTAGACTTCTTCGCTATTTCAAAATTATGGATAACGAAAAAAATCCACTAGTAGTTTCATGAAAACGGATAAAAAAATACTCTCCTACGTTTTATAATGTACACTACACAATAACCGAAGCTTTAGCAAAATTTGTATTGACTTGTTCGTGTGTTTTCTTTTTTGTAGCTCAAAGAAATTGCAGTATTTTAGTTATATATGCTTTGCCATTAGTAGTAGCAGGTAGTGTAAAGCATATCGACACCCAGAAACGGCGAGTGGAAATAAATGGGATAGGCTGTTGCATTCACTTTCTCACAAATGCCCTTGCGAAAAACATGAATCGGCGTTTAACCCCAACTACAGATTAAAAATAGAGTAGACTTGGATTTCTAACTTAGATGGCAACCAGTCTTACAGAAGGAAAACGTTGATTTCAAAACCGTGGAGAAATCACTCCATTATATTTTCCAAGTTATGTTAATAAAGAAAAGAAATCTGCAGAGATATGCCATTTTTAATTTTAATTCCAATCAGCATGTTCATCTTGGTTATAGCAAAAGCAATATTAGACTAATTATTATGCTTTAATCAAGATGACCATTAATTCTTAACTTGTTCATTTTGTCAAGGTTAAAGCTTTGACAAAATGAACAAGTTAAGACTCAAATTATGGTCCCTATTTCTATCAAATGGGATCCTGAATGAAATGAAAATAAAAAAATCAAATAGTTACTAGTTTATTTGAAAATAATTTAAGGTGTGACATATAATTCTGAAATATGCAACAATATATTATCAAAAGCCTCACTGTGTGTCCGACCAAATTGTTGTCTCCACATAAATTCATCTAAATGTGATGATAACTTTGAGGAATGTACTCCCAACATTGCCTTGAATTTCGTTTTACAATGTTTCCACATGCATTGAACCGAATTAGTATGGTTAACAATTTCATGTAGATAAGGTTTAATGGGAATGTCACTAATGTTGTCATAGATTGCCCTCTAATCGGAATGTATCGTGCTTCCTGGGAGGATATATTTTTGAATGAGGGGTAAAAGTACTGCCTCGGATCTGTCAGGCACGTTAACAAGGAAACCAATTTTAGTTGTGGTATCTATCCCTCCAAAAAAACATTCTTCAGAAGCAGAATTTCTTTCATGGTTCTTCTTCCTTTTTGTCTTTAATAATTCAAATTCATTAATCTCCACAATGTGATCGGTCCCTCCAATGAGGATAGGATGGATAAGTAAATAATCTGAACAAATGTCACGTAAATACGAATACCATTGAACTGCTGTAGAGCAAGAAAACCCGACTATGACCGCCGTTGTTGTTACTGGAATTTGTAGTGCCCAGAAATAGACTAACATGATGAAATCTTGTAGTGATGTATTTTGAAGGTTCAAAAAACTACCTTCTCGAAGGGTTAATTTATTGCTCTTGTGAGACGGACATCGCCATATAAGTTCTTCACCTCGTCCACATTTAACCTGTCATCAATCGATCACATGTGTTACATACATCGAGGAATGTCACGGCGAAGAATGCCTCTTTCCCGTAAGAATTCTTTCGAGGCATTAAAACTGGCCCAATGCCGAGACACTTCGTTTAAATTTCATGACCGACATGTTTGTTTTCAAATAATAATAATAATAAAAAAAAACATTAAAAAATCAAAATGTAAACTTAGGACTGCAGTAGTTGAGTAGTTAAATGAGGCAAGGAGACGAATATTTCATTGGATTCATTAATAAAGGAAAGGGTATATTTACTGTTAAGATTTCTTCATTTATTTTAGTTCAAATTAATAAAAAAAAAGCCCTCCCCTATTTCGATATAAATGAACTTTAAAAAATCTCAAAATTAAAATATATATTTGTGAAACTGAGCAATATTAACAGATTTAAAGTTTAATTAAGCCGATTTGAAAAAAAAATAACTTACATTTAAGTTTAAAATAATAGAGAAATGGATTTTTAAAAACAAACAGTTGCGCGATTTAAGTGTTTATCGATACCTCATCAATCACTTAACGAGTTGGTGACAGGTTCATTGTTGTTGTATGGCGACTTTATCTGTATGGCGCTCACCAATCATTTTCTTAAATTACATTTTAACAGTTAAAAATAAAATGTAATTTAAGAAAATGATTGGTGAGCGCCTTTTTTATATAATCTTTAAGTATTCGGTAATCTTAAAAATCTTGGAAAACGTTTTCTGTAATCTAATTTTAAGAACGTTAAGATTAAATTTACTATAGTCAGCGCTCTTATTTTCTGATTATGTCGTTTATGGTCGACCATACTTTCAAACGGGCACGCGGTATACATGAAAAGTGAAAACAAAATTAAAAAAATATTGGGATTGGGGTACAACGACTTTTTATTTTTTGATTCATAAATGTAGCTTTTACTTAATAACAATATTAAATTAAACTTCTTGAAATAATGCAAAATTTTAAACGATTTGAAATTATTTAATATAAAATTATTAAAAAATGAAAAGTTCTTGTAAAAAATTAATTATTCATCAAAAAATTTTTTCCTTAAAATTTCATGAATTAGGGTCGTAAACATAAAAAAAATTTACAGAGATTTTAAAAAATACTTTAATTCAAATCCGACAATTTGATTTTTGCAAGAATTTCCAAATGTTTCGGACACGAAGTAACACTTTTTAAATTCTTTAATAATGTTGTTAAGTTACGTACGATCATAAAGAAAGCAACTTCATCTAGTTCCCTTTGGGACCATTTTTTTTTTTTTTTTTTTTTTTTTAATCCACTGGATGATTTAACTTTTAGTTTTAACTTTTTAAAAGAAGATGGTAAGTTTTTTATGATTTTTTTTTTTATTGCGCTCAAATGTGCGATGAGCAAAAACGGTTAGTGTTGAAGTGTGTAATTAATTAACGATGAAAATATGCGAAGAATTCAAACTTCACAGTTTCAGATGTATTCAGGATTGAGGAACGAGAAAACAAGTTGTTTCTTTATTAAAATAAACAATTATTTTCGTAAACAAAACAAATGCTCGATACTGAACAATGAAAATAAAAAATAAAAAAAGATGTAACAAATTTACTAGGCTGTGTTGGATATGTTTCTTTTTCTTCCATGATGCCAAACACATCATTTTGGACCAAAAGTTTAAACTTGTACCACAACTGGGTTTTTAAAAAATTCAGTTTGTCATTTGAACTTCCTCTATCATATTTCCAAATAAAATGTACAAAGTACTGAGCCAATGTTTGTATTTCTATTTAATTTAAATACCGACTCTGCAAAGATCCATTGTTATTTGTTTTTTGTCCTCAGTTTCAAATAAAATAAATTTCTATATAATAAATTGACTATGTCAGAAACTGTCACTGTTATTTATTTTTATTGTTACCAATAAGAACCCTAGACTAACCCTAACGAAACCCTTTCATCTTTAAGTTGAAAAAGGAAAGTTAAGAACAAACATTGAGAATTGAAATTTGCATTTAAAAAGAAGAATAAAAAACTGATTCATTTTTTTTGTTAAATATTTTTCAAGAAATGATTTGAAAGGATTTTTTCGATGTTAATGTTTTTTAAAAAAAAAAAAAAAAAAAAAAAATCCACCAAAAACAAAAAGGTCAGCAAGAAATTGCGGGAAATGAAGTCATTTAAGCAGATTTTGCTAATGACTTACCAGATTGAAATTGAAATCTTAAGGAAGTCAAAGAAATAATATTGAGAATTAAATTTAAATTTCTACTTAAATAAAAAAAAAACAAAAAAACCCCAAAGCAAAACGGATAATCTTAAAAAAAAATCAAAACTATAAAAAAATAAACTAGGAAGATGATCATTTGTCAATAAAGAAAGATGAAAGAAGGGGTCAATTGTATTTTTTTTTTTAGGGTTATTGTTGAAAACAAAAATTACGATTTTTGTTTTGGTAGTTTCCTGTTTTTTGCTTTTTAAAAGAATTGATTTGGCTAAAGAAGAAAATATAAATAAAATCTTTTTCTTTCATTCATTCATTGTAGTTTTTAGTTGTTAACAATCGATTCATTTTATTGTTGATTATCACTAAAATTAATTTAGTATTTTCGATGTCGTTACAACTGATTTAATAATTAATTATTTAATATCCGAAAAAATTGATTCATAAGTTAGAATAGAAAGAAAAAAAAAGTTTTTTTACATTTTTTACAATCAACGAGGAAACTGATTCAAATACCATATGGTCAAAAAAAGAAAATATTTAGGAAATAAATGAGATTAAGAAGTTTTACATTTTTTTTTCTTACACAAGGTAAAAGAAAATAGAAATAAAAATTGGCAAGAAAAAGTTCATAATAAAAATGGGCCGATTTAACACAACAAAAGGAAGGAGTTCGTTTTTTTTTAAGGAAAAAAAAAACAAAAAACAAAATTAAAGTAGAAGAATTGTGATCCCAATTTTTTTGTTAATAGTCCGTGATCCGAAATATCTGTGGAAGAAAATAAATTTCAAGCGGTTATATAATTTATTTATTAAAATAATTTAATGTGTGATATACAATTCTGAAATATGCAACAATATATTATCAAAAGCCTCACTGTGTGTCCGACCAAATTGTTGTCTCCACATAAATTCATCTAAATGGGATGATAATCTGGAGGAATGAACTCCTAACATTGTCTTGAATTTCGTTTTACAATTTTTCCAAAGACACACAACCGAATTAGTATGGTTAACAATTTCATGATGATAAGGTGGTTTAATGGGAATGTCACTAATGTTGTCATAGATTGTCTTTTGGTCGGAATGTATCGTGCTTCCTGGGAGGATATATTTTTGAATGAGGGGTAAAAGCACTGCCTCGGATCTGTCAGGCACATTAACAAGGAAACCAATTTTAGTTGTGGTATCTATCCCCCCAAAAACCCACCCTTCATGACTTCTTGATTTAAATGATTGGAATTCATTGATCTCTACGATATGATCGGTCCCTCCAATAATGACAGGGTGGAGAAGTAAATAATCCGAACAAATGTCACGTAAATAAGAATACCATGTCAATACCGTGGGTGGTGACAAACCAAGCATCTCTGTAGCTGTTGTCATTGAAATTTGCAGTGCCCATACATAAACAACCATAACGAAATCTTGCAACGACATTCCTTGATGGTTCAGAAAACTTCCATCACGGAGGGACAGTTTGTTGGTTTTATGTGACGGGCATCGCCACATGAGCTCCTCACCACGTCCGCATTTTACTTCAGTCATTGGCCGATTACAAACATTACATCGAGGAATGTCCCGCCGAAGAATGCACCTTTCTCGTAGAAAGTCCTTTGCAGCATTAAAATTTTCACAACGACGAAAGATCTCAGCGAGTTTCATGATTGCTGACGAGCTGAGTTAAATAAAAAAAAAAAAAAAAAACAGCACCATGAATAACTCTACGGCGTGAGAGACCGTTGATAGAAACGAGATTTCAGTCAAGAACGAGATTTCCAAACATTTTAAGAATTTGACTGACTTAAAATAAGGAGACTTATTTGCAGTTTTTAATTTAAAATAAAAGAATAAAAATTTAAACTTTCTTTTTAAAATAAATAAAATAAGATTAATTTGCATTTTAGCACCCGCACTCAGTTCGCATTCAAAATTTCCAGAATACTTACATTTATACATAATTGTAATTGCTACATTCGAATCTGGCTTGATAAATTTGATAAAATCTACCGTTTTGGAGTTATCTACAGTAAAAGTTGGGATTCATTTGCGCCGTTGGCGGAAGCCATTACTGGAGTGCTTGTTTGCATAGATTCGCCGCGGAACGCTAAACGCGGAAGAATGTAGTTAACGGGCCTTTTTTTTTTTTTTTTTACTGATCTTACATGTCTCAATTACTGCGCAAGAGAACTATTTATGTACACACACTTCTCAATTGTGCGTAATAATCAAGACATATGAATATTACACTCGATATCTATTCCGAAGCGAATGTATGCAAACAACGCCAGTCATGAATGACTGTCGCGACGCTAATGAATCCGAACGTTTACTGTCAAAATTTTATCAAATTTATCAAGCCAGATTCGAATGAAGCATGTACATTTACACCTAAATATAAGTACTCTGGAAATTTTTAATGTGAACTGAGCGCGGGTGCTAAAATGCAAATTAACCTAAGATAATTAATTAATTCAATTAAGTTGATTTATTCTTTTTTTTTTTTTTTTTTTTTGGTGTAGTTGCTTTTTTTTTAAAATAATAAAAAAACAACAACATTTTTTTCTTTTGGGCTGTTAATTTTTCAGAAAACGAAAGTGGAAGCAAGCAAAAGAGGTACTAAATTAGAAATTTCGATTCACAATAATAAATTTAACTAATGCCCAAACCAGGGGTGGCCAAACTGTGGCTCACGAGACATATGCATCTCTTTGACCTTTAATATGCAGCTTGTGGAAATATGTTGGCTGAGCTTCTTTTTGCAGGAAATTTGTCCAAGCTTTCCCACATGAAAGGGCTGAGGTTAGAAAATTCTGACAAAAATTGAATAAAAACAGCAAGATTAGAGCAAAAAACTCTCTCTTTTAGGTGGACGAATAAAGTAAGACTCCGTGTGTAACAATAAAAAAGAAAATGTTTACTTAAATGTAGAAAAAAGGGATAAACACAATTAGAAGAAAAAGAAAGGGAGAAGAAAACTCCTTTAACTTTAAAGAAAGAGAAAATGTTCTTAAAAAAAAAAGGCTAGAATGTGAACTTGTAAAATATTGTATTCATGGTTCTCAAATTAAATTTCAATGTTTTTTTCATCATAAGTAAAATATAAAAGATAAATAAGAAAAATTTAAAGCTTTACTGGGTATTAATTGAGACTTCATTGGATTAAAAAGTAAATTTATGGTTATTAAAAACATTTAAGAATTTAAAATCGTAGTTTTAATGCCATATCTGAGTGAAGCATTGTTCTTTAGTGCTGAAGAAAGGAATGGTGGGAGGCAGAGGGCATAAAGAAATTTCTAGTCAGCAAGTGTTACAGAGGAATATCAGAAATCTAAGACTTGGGTCATGGATATGGGGATTAAAGATTTGGGTGTGCTGGATAGTAAGTGCAGCTCTCAGACATCTCAACTTTATTGTATGAGGCTCTTATATTAAGCAAGTTTGGCTACCCCTGTATTTGTGTTCAATAACATTGAATAAACAATTTATAATGCAAAACTGGACCCTGATTTTGTGTCTGCTTTTAAAGCTGTAGATAATTTTAAAATACTGAAGCATAAGAAATTTTTTTTTTATTGAATTTGTAATTTGGTGTTAAAGTTGTTAATACCACAAATTGATTTTTTACAGAGATTTAAAAAAAAAACATCTTTTAAAAGTCTTTTTAGGCTTCTGTACTTTAAAATTATTGATGTTATGAAAACGAAAAGGAGCTACTAATTTAATAACATAAAAAAGGACATAAATTAGCATTAAATTTACATTGTAAATCAAGCACGTGATAGAGGAAGAAAGTCACTTCGTTTTATGACAAGCAAGATGCAGAAGAGAATGAGTTCAATTATTTTTTGTGTAAAGGAAAGTTTTCTGTTGCATGCTGGGAGAATTATTATTTTGGTTTTATTTTATTTTAAGCAAAGTGTAATGGGTTTCATTTAGCTAATAGGTAATTAGAATAAAGAGATCTATAATTATAGCTCATGGGTAACTTTGACTCAATATACGTAGAATATCTATGGCTACTAAATCTGAACATCAAAATGAAATGGCGTTGCCTGACAGAGCTCTGTTGAACATAGAAGAATCTGAAAACATAAAGATTTGAGTAAAATGCTTTGAGGCATGTGCCAGAATAAAGAAGTTACAAGATGACCAAACACCCGAAGGACAGAAAGAAATCATGGATCTATTTTTGGCCACTGCAGAATGCAAATCCATTAGGTAGATTTTGTTAATGACTTACCCCACTGAAATTGAAAACTTGACATTTAAGGAATCCAAAGACATAATATTGAGAAATATTCAACCAAAGAAAAGATAGCCGAATGAACCAAATTCTTAGCATTGAAACAAGAATTTGGGGAGCTTGTAAAGAAATATCTAAGAAAGTTAAGAGATACTAACAGATATTGTGAATTTCATGAACTTGGACAACAAGGAATAAGTATCGAGAATTAATTTAATTCCAATTGGTAGAAGGACTGTACAACCCCTCCCATAGAGTAAAAATTTTAGAGCAGTTACAGACAAACCAAATGACTTTAGAAGCTTGTATTGATGTCATACAAGAGGAGATATTGCAACTTTGGACATAAATCAAAGATAGAAAAATGTCTAGCATGTAATAAGTGCAAAAAGAAAAATCATTTTCAAGTTGTATGTAGATGGTGAGATACCAATGTAAAAACTGTCAAAATAATACATGACAATGTAAAAAATCAAACAAACGTTTTTCAATATAAAAAAGTAGAAAGAAAACATTAAATATTGAATTAAATGGTGCAGACCTAAAAATGCAAGTTGGAAATGGAAGTGAAGTGAACCTTATTCTGAATAATTTTAGGGAACAATTATTGAAACCAAAATTAAAGAAAAACTTAGTAAGATTAAGTCAGCTTGATAACATATGTATAAAAATATTAGGGTCTTTTCATTTGAAACTGTCACTATTATGGTTGAAGACAAAAAGTCACAGTTTAGTAGAAAGTGATTTGATAAATATTAATAGCAAATGTTTACTTAATGGTATGAATACGGGACATTAAAAACTATAAAAGAAATATCAATCTATCATATTTTGAAAGCTTTAGGCTTCCCATTCCTATAAAGCAAATGGTAGTTGATAAGCTGAGAAAAATGGAGGAAGAAGGCATTCTTCAATATGTAGAACTGGGAGGTAGCAAATGGGCATTGTATATTGTGATTTCAAGAAAACCTGATGGTGATTTTAGAATTTGCAGAGATTACAAAGTAGGCATAAATCATAAGATTTGTTTGAATTAATGCCCTATTCCTAACATAGAAAACATATTACATTCTCTGGCAGGAATGAAATATTTTATGAAAATTAATTTAAAAAAATGCATACCATGAAATTCAAATCAATGACAAATTTAAAAAAATCACAACTATAAACAATCCCCATAGGCTTAGTTAGATGTTCCTGCTTACCATTTGGAATTAAGACAGCCAGCTTGATTTTTCAAAAAGCTATGGAAAATTTGTAATCAGGGAGAGTAGAAAATATGATAATTTATCAGGATGATATATGTTTAGGTGCGTCCACTAAAGAAGAACTGAAACAAAAAACTAAATTTGTAATAGATAAGTTGAGGAGGGCAGGAATGACGATAAATGAAGATAAGTGTATATTTAATTGCAAAGAATTAACATTCTTGGGTTACCAAATTTCCAAAAATGGTACTTTACCAGACATGACGTTAATAGAAAAAAATATTAAATGTATTTTTTCCAATAAAAATGAATTGGAATTATTTCTCAGATCAGCCAATTTTTATAGCCAATTCTTGTCAAAATATTTTGAAAGAATTGAAGAATTTTCTGAGTTTCAAACGAAGAATAATGAGCTTGAATGGACACATACACACCAAACATTCATCATTAAATTAAAAGAAACTCTATCTAAAAAGCCTGTGGTCAAGAGTTTTTACCCTAAAAAGGATGTTACATTATCCACAGATGCAAGTAGCCAGTCTATATAGGCAATTTTGTCCGAGGAAGGACACCCAGTGATGTATCTTTCTAGGACAGTGACACCAGATGAATTGAACTATTTTTATATTGAAAAGGAAGCACTTGCAATTGTATGGAGTATGACCAGAACAAGACAATTTTTATTAGGAAAAAAATTTTGTTGAGATCCAATCATAAACCCTTAGAATTTATATTCCATCCTAGGAAGGAATTGCTGTTAGTTACAGTTTATAGGCATGGGGGCCCCCATGAAGTTGAGAGGTTCATGGTTGTAAGCACTGGCCCTGTCAATTATTATAATTGATGATTGACAATATAACTTAGGTAGAATAAAAAGTAAAAGGTACAAAAAACACAAAAAACACTGCTGAAACTAGACCTTTTTGTGGCTCTAACCTCATTGGGGATTCCTGCATAGTACGCACCATGCCAGCATGCAGATACATGATGTATATTATTAGTTGATGACTGACAATGTAATGTCAGTTTAAAAATAATTAAAAAATGTCTGATGGCCATAAAACAGTGTTGAAAAAAATGACAGTGACTACAGCAGAGTCCCAGAAAAGGCCTCCCACCTCCAGTCAGAGGTTTCGAGGTAAGATGTGCATGCTCTGTATCCATGTTTTTAAAGCATCTCACCTTTCTTGGCAGATCTTTTGCTATTAAAATGTGGGTTACTTA